GACTTGGTTCATGAGTTCATAATGAATGATGGCTTGGGTTGCTTCATAAAGTTGGGTGGAGATTTCGATGGGGCATGTCTCATACAGATCCTCAAAGGTTGCCATGATGATGATGATGATGATGGTGGTGGTGGTGATTATGATTCAATCATTTGTCGATAGGAATGATGACGATGTTGATAATGATGATGATGACGTTGAAGATGATAGTACACTTGGTCATAAAATATAGCAGCTAATCATTATTTTCTGTTGAACGATGAAATCGAATCCCAGTGCTCGGCCAGATAATGTTGTATGTGGATGGAATGAATGGAGTCATCGAACACAACCTCACCATCCAGTGGCTATACATGCTGGTCGATACCAATGTTAGTGGTTGCTGTTGTGGTTGCTGCTGTGGTTGTTGTTGTGGCTGTTGTGGTTGCTGATGCTGTAGGTGTTGATGTTGTGGCTGTGATAGTTGTTGATGTTGTAGTTGTTGATGTTGTGGTTGTTGATGTTGTGGTTTTTGATGTTGTAGCTGTGATGGTGGTTGCTGTTGTAGTTGTTGCTGTTGTAGTTGTTGCTGTTGTGGTTGTTGATGTTGTGGTTGTTTTCATAATCCTTGTTATTATAATTATTATAATGGATGTTGTTGCCATTCGTTACGCTGTAGCCGCTGATGCTGCTTTTTTTGTTTTGCCTCATTAGTAGTCGCTAACACTCCTCATTACGACGGAGTGTTCTGACTTATTCATGATGCACATTTGTGAATTCAAACTCAAACACACACACACACACGCACACACAAGCGCGCGTGTACATACACTCTTACACACACGCTTATACACACGCACATATATATGCATATACACGTTTACCACGTTTACTTACTTAAACACACGTACATATATATATATATATATATATATATATATATATATATATATATATATATATATATATATATATATATATATATATACACAGACGCGCTCGTAAACACACTCGCTCATACAGTTTAATACATAATAATTCAATTGTGTGTTTATAATTGAGATGAATGAGAGGTAGGTGAATGAGAGTACTTATGTGTATTGCATTGTTATAAGATTTAGCAACAATGGTGATAATGGTGATGATGGTGTTGATGATGAAAATGTGAGGACGATAAAGATGACGATGATGATGTTATCTTATAGATAATGGAATCACCTTGATTTGGCATTTCTAGCTTATTTAGACGTGTCTGCGAAAAACAAACACTTCTGTTCCAATTTAAAATGCTCACTCTGCAATGAATCGTTTCTTCATCTCACTCATCATTCTTCTCTGCATCACATCATAGTCATCACCACCATGGTCTATATCATCTTCATCACAATTGTATCACATTCATCTATGGTCTATATCATCTTCATCACAATTGTATCACATTCATCATCGTAAACGTTATCATTGTGGAAAACCAGTATACCTTTGTGTGAGATCATTGGCAAAGTGAACTCCAATAAATTAAAGGTCCATAATTTCTTCACCATAACCATCGTCATCATCATCATCGTCATCATCATCATCATCGTCATCATCATCATCATCTAGACATCCACTTCGTTACTATCCTTATCTACACTCATCGTTATCGCCATCATTATCACAACTTTATCATTATTATTATTATTATTATTATTATTATTATTACTGTTATTATCGTTGTTATTATTATTGTTGTTGTTATCATTATTATAACTGAAAACATCAGCGCAATTTTTTTCCTCATTCACGAAAACCTTGACAAACAACTTTTCATGTTATTATTGCTAATGGCCATAAAAATACATATCGATAAATATTCTACTACTAACTGCTGCTACCGCTACTTCTACTACTACTACTACTACCACCACCACTACTACTACTACTAATACTACTGCTACTACTACTACTACTACTACCACCACCACTACTACTACTACTACTAATACTACTGCTACTACTACCACTACTACTACTACTACTACTACTACTACTACTACTACTACTACTACTACTACTACTACTACTTCTACTACTACTGCTACTACTGCTGCTGCTACTACTACTTCAACTACTTCTACTATATTATTTCGTATGTATCGTTGTTGCAATATTGTTTTACTGTTGTCATTAATATAGTAACTGCTACAAGTACAACACATACAGTTACTACCGTCTGCGTTAAGTATTTAATGATAATACTTTTCAAGTGTTTGTGTTTGTTTTTGTATCTCATTCTACCTAATCCATTGTTTAAACATTGAAACATGTGCACCTACCTACCTATCTACCTACCTACCTACCTACTTACCTGCCGTCTTGTGTGCATACGCATACCTGCATAATTAATACCCATATGCACGTGTATAATGCTAACACACTTGGATATTTAATACACATATGTAGACTGCATAAGTTCACACACACACATACATACACACACGCACACATACACACACACATAAAGAATAAAAGTGTCATTTATACCTATTATTAAATATTCGAGTATAATATTTAATGGAAATACTACAAAATTTGGTTGACTTTTTTGTAAAGTCTAAATTAAAAGCAGCCTTACTTTCTCGTGTTATGCGCGCAGAGTTTTTCAACATAGTTTTTTTTTGTCGTGTTCATTTCATATCAGTCATCAAACTGAACAGGACTACTCAGACGTTCTTTGAATAAAATTGTTCAAATTATTTAACGAAAGCAAATATGCATGTTAGAAAATATTTTTTTTAATATGCCGTTAAAGAACAATTAAAATGCTCCGACTCTGAGACGTTCAAAGCTAAAATATTACAGGATAAAATATTTTTGTAAAAAATGTTGACAATTTTAATTTTTAAAAGATAAGGGTTCTAAGTTTAATATTCAGTCTATTTATAAGTCGTTCTACATTAGCTACATTCCTTTAATTTCATTAATACTTGCGTTTTTATAAGGTTTATCATGTCTAGTTATCTTTTCGGAGATGTTATCATCACATGCGAGACAGACTCACAGATTAACACACACATCTAACAAAGACTCATCCACACAAGCACACACGCGCGCACACACACACATCTAACAAAGACTCATCCACACACACACACACGCACACACACACGCACGCTCGCACACACACACACACACGCAGTGACGTATAGATGATGTTGGTAAACTCTTATTTCCTGCTTACAAAATAATTGTCAGACTTTGTAGTCTATGTTATAGTGTTTGTTGTTGTTGCAGTTGCTTGCTAGCTAGCTTTGTGCATGTTATTTTTTCAATAATAATACCACTAATAATAATGAGAATAATAATTTAATAATAATAAATAATAATAATCACCATCGTCATCGTCGTCGCTGGCTATAATAATAATTTCACAGGCCATTATTCATGTGGCATGTTTGAAGTTTGCATTTATAAAACTAAATCGTAACGTAATATGCATTCAATGGTGATAATGATCATTACGACAATGATGATGGCGATAGTGATAGTGATGTTGAAACACATCAACAAAGCAATGCAACGCAATGCGCTTAGCTTAGCTGTTTGTTATCATCACAATCATCTCGTCATCACATTTCTTTTTAGGTGTAAACTATTTGCTAGGTAGCAGAACAAATGATGACAACAACAACAACAATAATAATAATCCTTATAATAGTAGTAGTAGTAGTAGTAGTAGTAGTAGTAGTAGTAATAATAATAATAATAATAACGACGATGATGATGATGATGATGATGATGATGACCTTCACCAATTGCCAGTTACGTTCAGTGATAAAGATGTCGTTGAAGTTGTTGTTGGTGTTCGTGGAGTACAATGACACCAACTGCATTCTGCTGACCAGGGCCGTCACCTTCGTCGATGGCCAATCAGGTTTGCTGCTACTGCCGCTGCTGCTGATGATGGTGGTGATGCTAGTGATGATGATGGTGATGTTAATGATGATGGTGGTGATGCCAGTGATGATGATGGTGATGCTAATGATAATGATGATGGTGATGCTAGTGATGAAGTTTATAATTGAGACATAATAGATTCAAAATAATGACGTCGACGACGTCAGTGACGTAAGGGCAGTGGCGATGGTAACTTTGGTAGCGCTGGTAGTGGGTGGTGGTAACTTGTTTACCAATGAAAAAGTATGGTAGAAAAAATGTAATAATACTAACGATGGTGTTTTTTTGTTGTTAGATCTATTTTATTTTCAAAAAAAAAAACCAACAGGCAACAAACCATGGAGCAACATCATGAAGCTGCTGCATGACACCAACAATAGCGACAATGAGCTGCTTGTTTACGCCATGACGCTCGTCAATAAGGTTGTCTAGTTGGTCATTGGCTCTATGATCACAGACATCAGCGCAGTCACACACACCTACACAAACAAACACACACACACACAAACACACACACACACAAACACACACAAACACACACATACACACACACACACACACACACTAACAAACCAACCGATCCCAGACACTCTCAGCGGTCCCAGACCAGGACACATTTTACGACATCACGGATTCGTTGGAGGAGCAAGGAATGGAGGAGGCGATGAGGAAGCAGAAGATTCTCTGCGGCAAGTTCTCATCAGGAATGCACATGAGTGAAATCAACAACGGCGACGTTGTCGGCAGCAATGGCAACGGTAGCTTGCCACATGGCTGCAATAGTCGCAGGAACAGCTGCAGTAGCGGTGGTAGCTTCAGCGGTACGGGTGGATACACTGGAATGTTTGCTTGTCATGGCAGCGAGTTGTTGGAACAGTTTGAGATGTACGACTCGTTGGTTCTGCAGGAAGATGGTGATGTATTTTCTGAAGGGTCAGTGTTTGTCAATTTGTGTGTATGTTTGTGTTTGGGTGTGAGATTGTGTATATTTGTGTGTGTGTGTTAGTGTGTGTGTTTTTTTGCTTAGTATGTGTGTGCGTGTGTGTGCGTGTGCGTGTGCGTTTGCGTGTGTGTGTGTTGGTGGCTGAAAGCTTCAAGACATGCAGAGTGATTATGTAACTCAGTAGGAATGCGGTTTTACAATGATTGATTGACTTCTTAGCAATAAAATGCATAAAGTATAAATAACATAAACTCAAATATTTGATGAAAGAATTAGTGAAGAAACATTGTGCTAACCTCTCAACAAACTAAGGAGCCAATCAGCATGCTAACTAATTAACTAATTCATCTAATTAACTAATTCATCTAATTAACTAATTCAACCATTCAATCAACACTTCAATCAATCAGCCATTCAATCAATCAACAATTAATCCCCATCTCAATCAACCATCCACTCAGTTATACGATCAATCGAAGAATCAATCAGACGGTTTTAACAATGCATTTCAGATCAAAGAAAGTCACTCGAATGAGAAGCGAGGATGAACTGAGGAAGTCGAGAAGGAAGTCAGCTGATTTGTTGGCGCAACAATCCAACAACAACATCGTCAACAACAACAAAGATGCTTCCATCAGCAAAAACTGTCACAGCTACTACAACTCTGACGAAAGTAAGTATACGTGGGCCAGTTCTTCCGACGATTTAATCAACGAGGATAACCTTCCAGTCAGAAATAATGAGGACTGCGACTTTACAAATATTCAGCAGCAGCAGCCGCAACACCAACAACGACATCACGACGACGACAACAACTGCAGTAACCAACATTTGAAGTTTTGCGACACTGGTCAACACAATCATCAGCACAGTAATAACTTACAACACACACAACAACAACAACAAAATCAACATTTCAGTGAACTGCAGAAAAGTCTGAACAATGTTCTTTCCAATCACCAACATCACCTGCAACAACATCAACAACATCGTTATCAACATCATCATCAACAACAACAACAACATCAGTTACACAATTTACAGTCAAATAAGTTCCAAAGTAGTCAGATTGATGATGATGATGATGATCAGCTGTTCATTGGTCGGTTACATTATTTTTTAATTATTTGTTGGCATTTTTAATAGGCTGCATTTTTTAAATTTGGCGTTTGTGCTACTGTAGCAAATTAAGAAATTATTGGATTGTTCTGCGTGAAACAAAATGTGAATTTTTTCAATTTTACGTTAGGCGACAGCTCAACAGAAAAACCGCCGCTAATTTCAACCTCATCAACCTCCACAACAACTTTACATTCAACAGCAACGTCACATTCAGCAGCAGCAACAACAACAACAACACCGGCAACATCTACATTCACAGTCGCACCAACAACGCTGCTTATGTTTCCCACGACAACAACAACAACTTCAGCAGCGACACCAGCGCTGAAGCAGAGCATGAACAGAAACAAACGACGCCAGCGACAGCAAAGCCACATCAACGAACTCCAGCAGATCTCGGCTTCAACAACATCACTCGAAGACGCTCTCAAACAACTGCAGATGTTGTCCGATGACATCATCAGCAACAACGATGACAACAACAACAACAACGGTACTGATGTTATTAATGACAGCAAAAACAGCAGCGGGTTTTTTGATGCTAAAAAAGAGTCACTCAACAGCTTGAATAAGGACGATGATGTATCAAGTTTGTCGAGTGCTGACAGCAACAACTTGAACAGCAACAGCAACAACAACAAAAATTGCGACAACGATGACATACCAGCATTTCATGACAGTATTTCTAACAACATCTACAACAAACTCCACAACAGCAACTACAACAACAACGACGACGAAGGAACACCAATAGATTACAACAGCCAGCACCACGTACCACAACATTTCACCGCGGGCAACTTGAAACTCATCTCATCGGCCAAGTACCATTCCCTGGACGAACAAACCTTCACAACACCAACTGGAGATGACGATGACGATGACTTGATGTCACAAGTTCCTGGTGTCCGAGATAAACTGAGGCACATCAAGTCAGTTACCTATTATTTACATTTTTCTGACAAATTGTTTTAAATATACAAATCATAAACATTAATTGCAGTTTGTTGTTCTTCATTAATTGTTGCTAACTAGGTTTTATATATTTCGCTTCCACATATGCCTTTTCAACTCTTTTGCTGTGTTAGTTGACTGCTTATTAACTGTTAAAACGATCGCCCATTCACTGGCTCATTCACTCACTCATTCATCACTTGTCATTCGCTTATTCATTTATTCATTCATTCATTCATTCATTCATTCATTCATTCATTCATTCATTCATTCATTCATTCATTCATTCATTCATTCATTCATTCATTCATCCATCCATTCATTCACTCATTCATTCATTCATTGCCACGATGTAGGATGTCCCTGAAGAAAATTGACTCAAACCCAATAACACCCACTGCCAAACCACCGCCAACAACATCCAGTGCGCAGCCACCCTCCTTCCTCTCGAAGTTCTTGTCATCCATAACCAACATCCTCTCGACCAGCAAAAAGATAGAAACCAGTCAGGAGTCCGAGTGGTCTGCCGCAGAAGTCGAATGCTCCAGCATGCCATTGAGGATTAAAGATTTTGATTTCACTGACATGACAGAGGCAGACGAGATTGATTACCTGTCGTCGTCGTCTTCATTTTCATCCGTTTCCACTACCACCACCAACAACAACAACAATTATTTTGGTTTGTTGTCCTGCTACAACAACAGCACCACCACAGCTGCAAGCGCGTCCGCTCCCCCTCCACCTCCTCTGCCACCATCTTTCACCCACTCGAAGTTTGTTCTTATTTACTTCGTTTTTTTAGTTCTATTGGTTGGTTTTAACCATTCCATCTTATTTATTCATCATAACGAACATTCCAGCCATCGTTTTGTTGTATAAGAAGAAAATGTTTCCTCAAAATTTGGTTTCGTTCATTCATTTTCACTGTTGTTAGCAAACGTTAATTCACGACGTAGTAAGTAAATGCTAATAAGGTGTACACTGAACTGTACAGAGAAGCAGTCATTTTAATGCTTCAGATATTTTTTATGTAAATCTCTTAAAATTTATTGCGCCGTTAAATATCTTTTTTCCAATGATTTATAGATCTGCTAGTTTGTTTTATATTTTTAAACAATTCAATTAATCTTTTGGTATGTTTTATATTCGTTAGAAAAATGTTATAAAAAAGTAATACGGGGGAAAGGGGGGGATGATGTCTGCTTGATGCTTTCTTCTAATGAGGGTGAACTTGATGATATGTATTAAACATTTTTTGTCGGGTGTCCGTGATAATTCCTGTTAATGTTACGAATGTGTTGTCGTCGTTGTTGTTGTGGATGTTGTTTTTGTTAGAATGATGATGTCAGTTAGTTGATGCGAAGCTGTCTGGCGAATATTTCACCGCTACGATGATTAAACAGCCTGTGAGTGTAATGATGATGATGTTGTTGATGATGATGATATAGCAGCTCTCTTTGAGGTTATTTTTGCATGCAGACGACTTATTAAGACAGCTAACGAGCGTCGTTTAACCCGCATCTTTAACGGAATATTGCTCTGGAATATATTTGGGCTATAAAAATATTAGATCGGTGACTGGCTGTTAGATTTTAAAATTACTTGTTGACACAATAAACAAATTGTATGCATTGAAATGAATTACCGAACCTTACAATCCATGGACAGCACCATGCACCAACAACAGAACCTTCCGCCTCCCGTCCCTCCTCTACTCCCCACACACACATCCCTACTCCTTGGTCACTCCACACTCGTTGGCAGCACCCTGCACAACAGCAGCAGCAACAAGAAGAAGAAGCAGAAGTTGCACTGGAAGGAATCTCGCCTGACCTTCCAGACGCCGAGTGGCATGCAGGATGACACGATATGGGGCCAGGTGAACAAGGAGGTGGGCACTGTCAAAATTGATAGCTCTCAGTTTGAAAAACTATTCGAGTTGAAGACGCAAGATGTCAAGTCCAAGGTTGGTTTGTGGTTTTGAGGTGGTTTGATTGTGATTGGTTGATTGGATGTCTGGTTGGTAGATTATGATTGGTTCGTTGATGGTTGAGGCGCCGGTGATTGGTTGATTATTTGTTTGTTACTGGTTAGATGAGATTTTATGCATTTGGCATGCGAAAAATTGGACTATGAGCACTTGAATGTTAAAATAGATGAATTGAATGTTTGGAATGCTGAGGGGGTTGAATGGACAGTTTGAATGCTATATTAAACAGATGCATTGAAATTTTTTTGTATAAATAATTAAACTTGAAAAACAAAATGTGTTTGCACTATGCTCAATCATCTGATGCGGTATGAAGGCTACGTTGTCTTTATGGTGGATGGATATCAAAGAGGTTTTCAAGAAATTGAGAGCTTGCTGAGAGAAACATGATGCAGAGGAGTAATGAAACGTAAAACATAGATTAATTAGTTTCCAACAAGTTTCTTGCGACTAAGCTTCGAAATGTAGTTCCGCTGCATGTGTGGTGGTAAGCAAGAAATAAAGAACGATTCAGTGAAATTATTTATTGTTTATGAATTTATGTTTCGTAATATAACCGGACTGCAACTAAAGTGGAGGGAGAGTATGATGATGTTTTTGCTTACTGGATGGAGTTGGTTGTTTCAATAGGAAAGAGTGGTGATGTACTATATCGAACGACTGGGCGATCATTGAATCAATTGTTATCAATTTTATAAACCGATCCTATACTACCAAACTCGAACCCAATTTTAAAGTTTACATTTGATTTTTGTTCTACAGGAGGTTGGTGTTTATTAGATGTCTTGCTTGTTCTGAGGTTTATCATATTTTTGTTACATGTTACACCGACAGATGTTTTGGGTTGTGTTGAATGTTGTTGATGCGAAATATTGATGTAATGTGTTGTTTTTGTTGTTGCTGTGTTGATGTTGCTTCTGCTGTTATTAATGTTGTTGCTGTACGCTGTTGTTGTTGAGTATTGTTTGTTAGTCGTTCAACGTCAGTACACTCCATTGGGTGCAAGTGTGCAATTAGCTATTAGCTTAGATCTTTCATCAAATGTTAATATTCATAAGTGTCGAATGATTCCTGGTCACTTCGTTTGTAAATCATCATATGCTAACTAACATTGAAAGTAATGTTGATTGAATTCGCTAACATTACATTCACCCAAATCAAGGATTAGTTTTCGAACGTTGAATCTATCTACTACAATCATTATTTTGATTGTCTGATATGCCCAAATTACAATGTTGTAATATAATTGCATAACATTACAACATTTTTGATTGTTCTATTATTATTTTAGCTTGTTTTCTCATTTGTTTATCTATTTTGTTTGTTTAATTATTTTATCTTCATCTCATTTTAGAAACTGTTCACATCATAATTCCAATGCTTCCAATTTTAAAGTCATTTAACGTTCACATTTCACACTTTTAAATTTTAATGTCTCTACAATGAACATATTTTTTAAATTATTTATACATTTTTATAATTATTGAAATAGTTTGCAAAAAATATTTTGGATGAGTTTTATTTAAGTCCGAAACGCTCTTCTTAAATTAATGCATTAATGCAAATGAAAAAACAAATTTAAATTCTTAAGCGTTTCTGTGCGTGCGTTTCAATTTCGTTGTTATTTCACTGCATCTGATTCAACATTACAAATGTAGATCATTTTTTGGATCACTTCTCCAAAACTTAATTTTCACACTTAACGTAACGCTTCAGTAACAGTAACATTGACTTTTGAGATAAAGAGAGCAACCCACAGCATTCAACCAACCAACCAACCAACCAACCATCCGCTACACCACCCCATTGCAGAAGTTGGAGACCAAAAAATTGGAAGTTCTTGACCAGAAGCGATCGAACGCCATCAACATCGGTCTGGTTCACTTGCCCAAACCAAACGCCATAAAAACTGCCATCATGAACATGGACAGTTCCGTGCTGTCTAGAGAAGATATTGAGGTAGGTTTTGGCCGTTCTTCGTTTGCTCGGTTCACGTTTTAAAATGTAAAAATATTTTCTGGGACTTGTGAAGCAGATTGTAAATGAAGCCAATAAATTGTCGTAAGTTGTGAATTGTCTTATTAATAAAAGAAAAGTTTAAACGAATTTAGATTAAAATTTTTTAAAACAAATGTACATTCACGAAAATAGAAAATACTCACCGGCATGATTCCAACTGAAGAAGAAATTCAAAAAATTACTGAACTTAGAAAGGCCAACAATGACGCCAACAGCAACAGTTGCAACAGCAGCAGCAAAACTCTTTCCAACAACACGACCGACTTCCAGTTAGGAACAGCAGAAACCTTTCTGGAAACGATGGGTTCCATTTCAGAACTTCAATCAAGACTCAAGTTGTGGGTCTTCAAACTGGATTACGATGCTCTTGAATCAGTTAGTCACCGCTCAAATACAAAAATTTATTTAGATTGCTGGATTGTCTTTTTCATTTTCATTTTTTCGGGTTCAATTTTCAACAACGACGCATTCTTAGCCTTTGAAAAAGTTGAGCTAATCAATATACACACACGCGTTCACACACACACACACACACACACACACACACACACACACACACACACACACACACACACACACACACATACACACACTTTGATATGTGATTTAAAAGTATAATTGAATGTTCCTGTCACACAGGAGATAAGCGACCCACTGTACGATTTGAAGAAGGGCATGGATGAGTTGAAGAGAAGTAAAACATTCAAATTCATCCTCTCGACACTTCTCTCTGTCGGAAACTTTCTTAATAACACCAGCGTGAGTGTCTTTTTTGTACTAATTGTGTTTTTTATAGTTTACAATGTCGTTTACCAGTTCATGTAATTGCATTCAATCTGTTAACATTGTGGAACATCATTCAAAAAATTGTTTTCTATTAAGAGGGGGGTTCATTGTCTCCGGCTAAGCGTTTTTTTAACATCTTTGATCAACTTTTAAACATTTTTTTTCTTTTATTTTAGCGCAATCTCAAGTTCTATGGTTTCATCGACTCTCAAAAGTTTTTCTTTCTACATATTTCAGTCGATCTTGATCTTTCAGACACATCCTGCATCTGTAGTTTTGGCGTCTTTTTTACTTGCCTCACTCATAAGTCTTCATGGCAACTTCCGATCAAATGTATTGCAGTTGATTACGTTCTATATTAACCCGGTACACGTTGTTTTTTCTTCGCATTAAAGGCACCAGGCTTCACAATTGACTACCTGACGAAAGTGACGGAGGTGAAGGACACAGTGTACAAACACACACTCCTCCATCATCTGGTCAATCTCATTATTGACCAATTTCCAGTTTCCGGTGACCTCTACACGGAAATCAGTTCTATCGTCAGATGTTCTAAGGTTGCTGGGTTGTTTGGCTGATTTTTGTTGATTTATTGATTGGTTGGTTGTTTGGTCAGTCTGTCGGTTGGCTGGTTGATTGGCTAGCTGTTGGGCTGAGTATTTCGCTGGCTGGTTGATAATTGATGAGTTGTTTGGTAGATAATTTTAATTGATAATTGATAAGTTGTTTGGTTGATAATTGATAAGTTGTTTGGTTGATAATTTTAATTGATAATTGATAAGTTGTTTGGTTGATAATTGATAATTTGTTTGGTTGATAATTGATTAGTTTGTTCATCAACTGGCTTTTTGTAATTTAATGAATGGTTGGTTGTATTTTTTGTTTGTTCCTCAGATCGTCTTCAGGGCAGCTCGAAACTTCGTACATTTAAATAATGTTTTGAATTGATGAAATAATTAGCAGATGGTGTGGAAATTTGATTTACTGTAACGAAACAACTGATTGACAGATTGACTGGGAGGACGTGAAGGATAAACTGGATAAGTTGGAATCCGACTGCAAGTCATCAAGAAACCATTTGATTGCTATCAACAAGCATGATCCCACGTTCCTGAACAAACACAAGTTAGCATCGCTATTGTAATTATTATTGTTGTTGTAGTTGTTGATGATTTGTGGTTTTGTTATTTTACGATTACTGTTTGCTGAGGCACATTGTGCTGAATAACTACTGAACGAGAATGTTACTTCAACAACTACGGCATAAATTCACATGAACCATCCACTCGTTATAGGATATCAGACTTCCTAACAAGCACCATGAAAAGGATCTGTATCGTCAAAATAGTTTACAAGAGAGTGTTCAACAGGTGGGTGTGGTGCGATTGGTAACGTTGTCAGCAACAGCGTTAACATGACTGCATGTGTCGTTAACAAAATATATCTAAATTGAAATGAACGTTAGCGAGCTTGAAGAAATTTTTTTTTAATTTTTAGACAATCTCTCCGTCCACTTTTCTTGTTTTCTTCAGAAATGTCTTTCAATCTCAGGCAACTTTTTTTCAATTTAACCTTCCAACTCAGCAATGTTGTTGCAATTGAAAAGCGTGGGGCCGCGTGCTTGAATGGTGCATGTTTTTTTATTGGCTGGTGAGGAGAGTAGTTTGCAAATTAAACCTATCAACTCAAGTTTTATTTACACGGCGTATTTTGAACTCTAACTGTCGGCAGAATTTTACATTCAAATAGTTATCAATTAAAATTCACTTCGTTTGTTTCGTTGACAAATGAATTTGAACAATTTTGAAACAGGTTTAGAAAATTTTTGTTATGGTTGGGTTATACTGTTGACGAAGCCAAGAACATCAATGTCAAACAGTTTTGCCAAGTAAATTTTTCCTTCATTCACGCATTCATTTATTAGAATTTTTTTGCTTATTGAATTTTATTTATACACGCATCTTAATAGTCATGTAATTATTTATTCTTTGATTTATTCATTGTAGATTTTTTGATATTTTTCATTTTTGTATTCATTTATTTTTTTCGTTTGTTCGTTCATTCATTCACAGTTGTCGACAATTCATAAATTTCTAACTTGAACTTTGTTTAAGTATTCGATACATTGAATTTATATTTCAACGCGAACACCGCGCCAAACAAACTCTGTGCAGACACTGAGTGAATTTGCACTGGAGTTTCGAACGATGAAAGAGAAGGTACAGAATGCGAGGATCAAGAAGCAGAACATGAAGGAGAGGAAGAAAACCAGAGGCCTCATGATAGTCCAGGTCGGTCATTCAGTTCGTTGGTTGATTGGTTGACTGACTGACTGACTAGCTGGCTGACTGGCTGTTTGTCTGCTGGCTATTCGCTAATTCACTAATTAACTGACTGAATAGACGATGTTTTATTGGTACGGATTAATTAACATGTTTGTTGTTTGATATTGGGGTAGCCAATGTTGGTTTAAACTTTTTTCCTTATGATTAGCTGTCGACCATTTTGTTTATCGATGGGAAATAATGTTTGCCTCTTTATTTGTAATCCATATATTTTATAATGAATGTTACAATGTATTTAATTTGGTAAAAGTTCACGTTTTTTCATTCAAATACATTTTACAAATGATGGTTCCAACCGTCATCTAGTTTTTTTCACATTTCTAATTAATTTATATTAATTGGCTTATTAAAACATTGCACGTTTGTTCATTTAAACGCTCATTTTTAAATCACAGACTGAAAAATTTTCAACAAAAGCCAAGACGTTGCCAAAACTGCACGAGAACACAACACTGAACAGCGCCCTCCATTCGCCGGCCAGCAGCAACAACCTCAGTTCACCAGCTAATGACTTGAATGAAGAAATAAATGATCTTGAGATGATTCTACAGAATGGAACATCGAAGCATCTATTCGTGAAAAATAGAAGTCGCAAATCATTAGGTTGCTGTCACTTTGACATTCCTTCTAAATTTGTAGTTAATATTTTATTCAATTTTTTCTATGTAGATTCTCACCTATTATAATAATTGAGTTTATAATAATTGAGTTAAGGAACGTTATATTAAAATTGTGAACATAAGAATTTATGTAATTAATCCTGAATTTAAAAATATACGCCACCAATTCTGAATTAATTACAATCATTGGAACTGAACCCTTATTCATCATCAGATCCAAGATCATTGCATAAGCCGATGAAACAACAGAGCGCGAGCAACGAGAAGGTAGTTGCTGCCGATGAGAACAACGCAAACAACAACACAAACGGCAGCCGAGATGATGATTTGTTGGAAAGTGTTGTTCGGTCAGTGACCAAAGCGAACGAGCCACCGAAAATGAGAGAGAGGAGAAGAGCAAGGGACGCAGATCGCAAATCACGTGAGTGCCTTCTGATCATTAGTTCAGCCGGCTTGCTTGGCTGCTTGCTTGCTTACTGTCAGCTGTTTTTTTAGTCTTATTAAATTATAATTTATGGCTGGATATAATTTAATTACTTTCTTAATTTAAAGCTTTTTATTGAAGTTCACTGGAAGGATAATTACTTATTATTTACAAATTTTATTACAACTATTTATATTTTATTATTGTTAAATCATATTATTATTAACTATTATTATTTTTATTTTTTAAATTTTTATCACAATTATTCATGTTTTATTATTGTTAAATCATATTATTATTAATTATTATTTATCAAAATAAACGCTTAACATTTTTCAATTACAGTTGGCTTATACAGATTGGCTTGATTTAATAGTTACTTAGTTACCCATAACAGGCATGATATATAAATTTCAAATACGATTAACATTTTATTACTATTATTTTTTCATTACATAATTTTTTTATATTTTTATAATTTCATTATTAGCTTTTATTATACCGTTATTATTTTATTTTTATTATAAACGTCAAAATAATTCTAGTCCAATTTTAATATAACCCAGTGTAGATTTGCGTTATTATTATTTAATATTGTTGTTATTATTATTGTTATATAAGCGATGCTGATTTACGATCAAAATTTATGGATCTAATATGAGTTGACCCGTTCCGAATGAATTTCATTTGAGAGGCATTGAACAGCAGTCATGTTCTGTTCATACATCGTAAACAAATGTCACATGCCACAACGTACCGCTGTATACCCTACTTACCTTACCATTTCATACCACGAAATACCATAACATAAACTACTACTAAGATTGATAATTGCTTGCATTGCCTCAGAATAACTAACAGATATAACATTCAATCAATCAATCAATCAATTAGTTTTTAAAGCGCTATTTACGCGATGTTCAACAGCGCTTCTCAATGAATTTTGCAAGCAGATGGGTCTTGAGATCCGCTTCTGAACTTCGTAAAGTGATGGAGAAGTAGTCAGAGAAGGAGGTAGAGAGATCCAGAGAATACGGCCAAAAAAAGCAAATGCAGATTTAGCAAAAGAATGTTTAACATGAGTTAAGAAGAATTGAGATTAAGAAGACGATCGTAAACCGGGGCGTCTAGGTTCAATTAATATATCTGATAAGTACTTAGGAAATAATTTAGATTGAGATTTATACAATAATAAGCGGATTTTAAAAATTGTTCTATATTTTATAGGCAGCCAATGCAAGAGAACGAGATATGGAGATATATGAGAAGAAAGGAGCACAAGCAACCACGCGAGTAGCAGAGTTAAAAGCTTTATTTAAAGGATAGAGTGTAGAATCAGGAAGACCATAGTAGAGCGAATTATAATAATCAATCCTAGATAAAACTAAAGAAGTAACAAGAAGGTAAAGAGTAGGATCGTCAAGAAAAGGCAAAAGTTTTTTTATTCTACGTAGATGAAAGTAAGAGCTTCTAGCAACACTATTAATCTGAGAAGAGAGAGATATGCTAGAATAAAAACTAGAATACGAAACTTATGAGAAACATCAAGAATTTTAGAATCGGTTAAAATTAAGAAAGGGCTTTTATCTGGTTGATGGTATCTGGCTTATCAAAAATATTGAGACAATTTAAATGAGCGGAGAATAAATTTTCTGAAAACTGTGATAATGTTTGAAAATTATTTTATAAATAACGTTGCCAATATGATATATAATGAAGTATATTTTTAAATATAGCTTTAATATATGAAAATTTAAAAATATCTTAATGTCTGCTGAAATATTTTGAAACATTTACAGTTCGAAGGACACTAAAAGGAGGACTGTCTGGTGAAGAACTCGAAGTTGTCAACAAATTTTAAAATTCTACTGCTGATCCGTAATATGTACACATATTATATATATGTTCGTATATATATATATATATATATATATATATATATATATATATATATTATGCGTGTGCGCGCGTTTGTACATACTACTTTATTTCTTAATTATCTATCCAGTTATCTAGTTTTATAAAGTTTCATGCTTTATAAAGTTAAAGCTATAAATAATTTCCGTGTACATACGAACTTTTTCCTTTTTTTTCTTTTTCAAACAGTGTTGCCAACGTTAATTGTAATCATGTTTTCAAAGATTCAAGCGCTATTTAGAAGTGATTTATGTAGAATTTTACATAATTTATATTCGTACTTGAGTTCAAACTTGGTTAAGTTTATATATAAAGTTTTTTATTTAAAATTTCCAGAAGAAATGTGTGAATGTGTTTTGAAAGAAAAAATGCTGATCGTTTAATTATTTATACGAGTTCTGTCTGATTCAATTTGTTTTGCTTTCATTTTCGTGATCATAAATGTAGACTTTTTCAGTCATAATTAAACAACGTATGCACCATGCATTTTATTTTTTAAAATTCTATTTAAATTCAGAAACAAGTTAGCTACATTTTTAAAGAACTTCATCTATTGATAGCTTGTTGTATATTTAATTTTATTATTTGTTAACGTTTAGTTGTTTCAGAAGATGGTGACATTTTTTCAGTAGTTTAATCAAAAATATTTAATTTTCATTGCATTTCAATCTAATTGACGCATTTGGATATTGTGTTATAGGTTTTTATGTTCTGTTTTGTTTTCCTTCGTGTATACCTGTTGGTGATAAGAAAACATTTCCTTTTTAAAATTTATATATATATATATTGCAAAATTTGGTTTATTTGTTGAAAATTTAGAAAGATATTGATGCGAAATTTACTGCTTGTTTAATATTTTTCAAATGTTTTCATTTGAGTTGCATTGAGAGTGATTAATGAACTAGAAGGATCCGCGCACACATACGTGTCAGTTTAATGTGATACATGTGCGGCGGATTTACGCACAATGAAATGAATCTTTGTCTGAGTGGTATTGGACTCTTTCCGGAATTACAATAAGTAAAACAACATTTAAAGACGACGGGGAAAAATTGTAAAGATTAAATCACCGCACTAGCAAGGTTCTGGCGCTAGTTATGACTGGATGTTGTAGATATCCTAGATGAGTTCAACTTGAAAAATTTTCGATACGTTTCACGAATGAAAGGCTAAATATAGCACTAAACACATTTCCACGTTTTGTACGTCTCTATTTAGATACACAAACAATCGATTTAGAAATATCGGAAACTTTATAAAGTGAGTGCTAACAAAGCGAAATAGAATTTGAAAAGCTTCCTGACATGAATATTTTAAAGTAACATCCGAACCATAAAAAAGTTAGAAATTTTTATTTTACGAGGCAATGGATTTTACGTAGATATTTTATTTTTCTGAAGGTGACTCAAACTATGCGCCTATAGAAAAATTTTTTTATATGCAACGCTAAGATTGTTGTTACTAATATTATTACTTATAACCAAAAATGATATAATTATTTTAACGAACGCGAAAAACTAATACGGACGTTAATTGACATCTAAATTTTGTTTTCCTTTTAAAAATAGCATTTCATTGTTATAAAAGAGGGCAACAGTTGTGCTAGTCATGAACAAATATTGCCGGTGTAATTTTATTAGTATGTTATTATTATTAATATTATTACTATTAAGCAGAAAAAAACTGTTCATGTTTATCTTTTAGTGGTACCTTCATCGAAGTGCGTGTTAAAGATCTTATTTTGTTATATAGGGTTGATTTTTATTTAATAAAATAATTGAAAACCAATTTGTTGTTTCGAAATATTTTCAGCCTTACGAAATTTTTAATGCTTTAATATTGTGCGTGTCCTCTTCAAAAAGCAATCGAGAGTTCAAGACTGATCCCATTCTTGCCAGTGTGATGGTGCACTCGTTGGCGTTTGTATGCTCTGTGTTATAACAATTGAGACATTCATTTATACCTATATAAATAATCAATAACGTTTGTGCGAAATCAATAAATTAGTGGAACAATAGCACTATTATTTTTTAAATGATGCCATTCAAGAGGAAAAACAGCTAAATTGTTATCAAGTCGTAATTTATACAAGATAAAACCGCGGCTCGCTACCTTCCTCTTAAAACATTTTCGATCGAATTTTTTAACATTAAACTTAATGTCAAGGTTGCTAATAATAATAAGCACATAGCCAATTTAAATATCATAGTTGTCCCATAAGTTCCAAGAAATGAAAAGTTTATAGCCAACCTTGTGTGTGCCAGATGTTTTTAAAGTTCTTCTTCAGTAATGTTAATAAGTCTTCTGAATCAAAAGTATTCACAGATAAAACAAACTTCGCTTCATCAATTGTTTCCCTATATTTTCAAATAGAAAAATTATTTCATTATAACGAAAATGCTGAACAAAAAAAAATAGAACCTTACACTTTGGTCGTTAAATATTTAGCTGTATCTTTTATCAATGCTAATAGTTTCGCTGTTTTGGAATGAAACTTTTCTGGCTAGAGAGAGAATTGCAAATAATTTTATAGTTTTATTTTAAAAACTGTTACAATGTAGAGGGGAGTGTATCTGAAATTTGTAAGCATACTTCAAACTGAGATGTGTAATGAGTGAGGTTCTGTATAATGACAATATTTGGTAAGACAGATAATGTGTGCAATTCAGCTAGATAATCTGATAAATTATCAGCTGTTTTCAAATACCTGTGATCAGTTAATAAAGAAATTTAATAATACTTTCCATATGACAATGAACAACTTTAAAAGTAATGTAATGAAAATACAGAAAAAAAATCTTTCTTTCAATTAAAAAAATGATGAAAACATCTAGAAAACTATTTAGATCAAACCTATTTGACTACTAATAAAAATGTAATATAAGATGTTAATCATACAGGAAAGTGAAAATTTCCATCATGAGAATATTTGGCTTTGGCATGCCTTCAACTGGTTTTGGCATAATTTTAAATGGCTCAGGCACAATGTACACCACAGAATAGCCATCACAATTCAAACTCACTCCATACTGAAACAACAGACAGTTCTGCAGGCTTCATCCATTCACATGTAAAGTAGTAAATACATTTAATTAAACAATTTTCAACAAATAACTAATAATAAAACAACAGAATGAAAAAACATTTCATACATATAAATTTTTACCAAAGGGTTATTATGAGCAATTAAAAATTATTTAATATAATAAAATTATAATTTGAAATTAGAATTATTTCAATTTATTTGGTGACTTTATTTACCTCTTTTTATTGATGCATAGTACTGACACCAGGTCATCATGTTTATTTAAATCTAAAAGAGCCACATTGTCTTGTCCTCGTGCATCGAGCAGTTTTACTAATTCACTGACTGGGAACATACTTTTTAGCATATTTGGAATCTATTAAATAAGAATAAAATAAACAGACCAAACTATCAGATATTATCTTATCTTACAGAAACTGAGCCAAATCCAGATTATAGACCCAGAATACCAAGACTAAATAATAATTAAATACTGTCTGGGTATTGGAAATATTGTAAAGAAAGATACAAGGTTACAAGAACTGGAAGAACAGAAGAAGCAGAAAAATTTTTAACAAACGTTTTTAAATGTTAATAAGAAGACTAACTTTTAATTTAAGAGTATGATGAATTTGTGTCAACTACATTAAAATGATTAAATTAAACAAGAAAGTAAATAAGGTGAATTATTTTTTACCGTTGCCGTTCTTAGAAAAAAATTCATCTCATCAAACTAGAAAGAGAAGACCAGGTCAAGACGATCAACAAGCAGAATCAGCTGATCAATATTTATCTCTTAAAATACTACTTCACTTACCGCTAAAAATGAGCGATGTACTCATGAGTAACCATTATACATATTATTCAGACCAGTTATCAACATTTCTTTTGCATTTTTATTGGTATTAAAACATTGTGCCAGTAATTTTTAATTTGGTTTACACAAGAAGTTACATTAATTATAAGACTTTAAGCCAATAAAATCAAGTTATGTACAATGAATACTTTATAGCTAGCAGGTTATATGTAATAAATTAATAATGCATCAGTCCATTTTTTTAATTTCTAAAAAACGTACAGGATTCAGTGAGAAAATTTTAAAAACAAAATAAGAACTAGAACACAAAGGTAAAAGTTGGATAAAAAATTTAAGAAAAATTTTGTATAAGCGTGAGTGGTATAACGGTAGCATAGTTGCCTTCCAAGCAATTGATCCGGGTTCGACTCCCGGCTCACGCACCACCTTTTGTTTCATCTTTTCAACAATAATAATCAAGCAGTTTTTTGGCGAACGTTAAACGCAAATATTTTTGAATCAACATTTTACAAAGTTAAAAATATGAATGACCGTCGTTTTTGGAAAATGTTTTTTGTTTAACTCCAGTAAAAATAAAATTCATCACAACATAAATATCATCGAAAAAGTAGTTTCATTTAATGAATGAATGGCAAAAGTTTCATTTAGAAGTTATCAAAGTACATGATTATAAAAAAAACATCAAAAAAATTCTAGTTTGATCTTCTTGTGGTATGATTTTTCTCCTTCCTAACTTTACTATCATTTCTGTTGACAAATGTATTTGTTTTATTTCTATTTTGACTTTTGGGATGCTTTTTCTTGTTGTGCTTTTTACCTAGACTCTGTAACTTTTTATTGTTTTTATTGATCTTCCATTGATCTATTTCAAGATTTTTATTGTTTTTAGTATGTTTTCTATTCTTTCTTTCACTAGTTCTTTGTTTATTTTGTTCAACTTCTCTTCTACTTTTCATCCTCTCTCTCCATGAACACTTTCCCCTATGAGCAACTTTGATGTTTCTGTTCTCCTGACATTCCTTAATCTTTAACAAGCAAATATTTTTAAATGAATTCCCATCAACAGAGCAAACGTATTCCTTCGGTAGAATGGAGCACATGTACACATTAGGACATTTACATATTGGTAATCTTTGCATATTTATGTAACATTCTTCAAACTTTGAACATTTTATGTCAGCACATGGATTTTTCTGGGCAGCTGCAGAAAATGACAAATGAATAATATAATATATTTCAACAATCTTGTAAAAATAATGAAAATAACTAAAATTTTAAACAAACCTGTAGTGAGAGATGGGGACATAGCTAGCACAGGAGGATAAGATGTGGAAACAAAATTTGTGTTGTTCACTGGACTTAATAACTTGTCAGGACTGTGGTGCAAACATTTCTGACAGCAATCACATTTCTCCTTCATTAAAACGTTTTTACATGCCTTCTTTATACGATGTGGGCATTTTCTAAACACGTCACACCTGAATGGACATTTTGATTTTTTATCTAACTTTTTATGAGATTTTCTTCTACTTTTAGATTTAGTAGATGGTTTTAACGTCAAAATTTTGTCATCTGACTGGCTAACACGGGTGACCACATAATTTTGGTATTTATTCTTGTTAACAGGTACAAAATCCGGACGGTTCGATGAAAAATTTCGAGGAGTTGACGTGACCAAAATAGGTTCCACAGTAGCAGTTGGAGTTGCAGTTTTTTTCGACTTTCCAGCTGATGAATCACGCAACGAGCAAATTAAAAACAACTGAAAAAGAATTTGTGCGTAAACCAAAAACGATTTCATATTAAAAATTTGAAATTAAAAAATTTATTCCTAAAAATTGAATAAAAGTTCAACTCTCCATGGCAGGCACCAAAATCGCTAATCATATTATTCTGTTCTGTAAGAACTAAAAGTGAACAGGTATTTATAGACTGAAAATCCTATTCACTCACTGCTCCAGGCACCTAAGCTGCGAATTATGATTAAAATTACGTAAGAGCATTTAACTGCCAGCAGATTAACAAACAAACATTCATTCATTCAGACCCCAGACTGCCGTCCTATAAAGAAATGTTTCATGCAGACTACGCACACACACACACACACAAACACACCACACACACACGTTAGGAAGTGTACGTGTAACGTAGCGTGCCAGCACAATTTCAAAGATAAATATCCTCCAGATGTGCAGGCGTTAAGAAGACAATGATAAAGCATTAAAAATTTACTAACTAGCTAACTAACATCATCATCATTAACGCAATGTAGGAAATAATTAATTAACGACGAGCCATCAGCAACATCAAGAGAGATGGAAGGTAGAAACCTGTCGAGAAACACACTCACTTGTACCATCGCATCCAGAATAGACGAGTTCATTATTTACACATAATTGATAATTTATTTTCATAATTTCAAAATTACGGTAAAATTTAAACAACGTGATATTAATAATTAAAATATCAGTAGTATTTTCATGCATTTTAAAATTGAAACAAAAGACGATAAGATGAACAATAAAAATAAGAATTGCATATTGAATTGAATTAGGAAGAACTTTCATAAACACTTGAAAACCAACAGGATAAGTAACTATTAACGCAAGAACAAAATAATTAAAAGTAACCTTCAATGAAATTATGAACAAAACGATCAGCAACAGCACATAACAACAAAATATCCACAGTGAAATAGTCTGGTAAAATAAAAATAGCTTTTCTAAAACTCAACAATTTCATAATATCATCAACAGGGTACTCAACAAATGTAAGAACGTTCCTGCGTGAATAGAATAAAATATCGTAATGAATAAACGCATTTGAATACAGATATTGAAATAAAAAATAATATCATTACATCATTATGCTTTTGATTGTAGAAACTCAAACTGGAAAAGACTTCTCGAATCATTGTAAAAGTTTTGATAACAACAAAATTTAAATGAAAATTTAATGTGGAATTTGAAAGACAGAAAATAATTTTCGCTCTAAAAACATTCATTACACGTACACGTACACGTACAAACACGCACAGACAGGAGACGTACACGCAACACGCACACACACTCACATGAATATTCTTGTACTACATTCTGAATAAGCCGACAAAAATGTAACAATAGATTAACATTCCAGCCAAATATTAATTTCCTTTTTTGTTAACAAAAACGTTAGAATACTTTTATCTTACAAATTATTGTTAAATACATTTGGTCACATTTAATATTAATATGTAAGCACACTGTGAATATGTATATGTATGTATAGATAGTTATACATAACTAGTTGAAATTGTGAATTCGTGAAATAGTCAGTAAACTTTTTTGAATCCCAACACTGACGCATTAAGGCATTAATCGAAGATATTTGTTGATGGGCTGTTGCCATTCATTTGAGTTGAAGTCGTTGTTGCCAATACTAATGTCGTTGCAGTCACAGCTGTTGTGGCTGTTTTTGCTGTATTTGTTGAGGCTGTTGTGGTTGTTGCTGCTGTTGTAGTTGTAGTTGAGGTTGATGTTGTTGTGGTTGATGCTGTTGATGATGCTGAAGTTGAGGTTGATGTTGTTGAGGTTGATGTGGTTGTGGTTGCAATTGACGCTGTTGGTGTGAGAGTGTATCAGTTTGTTGTTGTTCTTGCTGCAGAGTTTCTTGATTTTGATGCATCTGCTGTTCTTGGCTGTGTTGTTGTTGTTGTTGATTAGGTGGGTGCACAAGTTCCATTTGTTGTTGATTTGTCTGCTCGGGCTGATGCTGTTGTTGTGGCTGGTGGATTTGTTTTTCAAGATGTAAATTTTGTTGTTCTATTGATTTTCTTTGTTCTAACTCATGTTTTAAATTTTCTTCTTTCCCCTGTTGTTGCAGCAGTTGTTGGTTTTGTTGTTGCGCTTGCTGCTGATGTAATTGCTGCTGCAGTTCGTTGTTGTGCTGTACTGCATGTTGTTGTTGTTTTTGCTTTTTTAACATTTCTCGTTGTACAAGAGCTTCTGCAACAATTTCGGCATCTACAAACAAATCAACATGTCAAGAGAATAATGATTATTAATATCCTTCAAAATGTAGTAGAAAAAATAAACATAAAAGACATGAAACTAAAGGTAAAAATAAAATGAACAAAACGAAGCAAACAGCTGAAAATGAGCTAAATAAACAACCCCATATCTAACCATGTTGCTGTTTTTCTATGTCAATTGGCTCAATCTTGCCTTCCATTGCATCCTGTTAAAAGTCAAATAACTAACTATATAAATAATGTACAATGTAGGATGCTTACTCATGCTTTCCTCAACTGACTTAACAGTTGAGGAAAGCATGAGTAATAACAAATAATGATGATGAAAAGAGCATACAGACACATGAAAACAATAAACAAAAAAAACCAATTCACATGTTTCCACATACAAAACAAAATAAATTCACATGCACCATCACGCAAACGAGCAATACAAAGCAATTCACTGTCGTGCATGCATCAATCAATCATCGGCACATGAAATGTCTCACAGATCTTAGCTTCTTAAGCTTGGTCCTCAGCTCCTGCAGTTCAGTCTCATTGAATTCAACGTGCTTGTTTATTGTCTGTTTTATATTATACACAATTATTCTTTAAATATAGATCAAAACAAATATTGACACAAAGATTTGCACGAAAATAATATAACAAAATAAGGCAGTCAAGAGAATAAAAAGTAAAAAACTTTACAGTTGTGGAATGAATGAGACAGAGGTTTTGCATTGAATGCATTAACCAAAATGATTTGGCAGCCCAAACAATCGACAACGAAACTACAACAAATGCATCAGTGATGCTCTAAAGATGGGAATTCATGAACTAGCTGTTATGGCAGATCACGTTGTTTGCACTTTGTAGCTAGGCTTGCAGATGCTTACTACTGATTTGTTCACTTATTAAGCATGACAGGAACGATGAACAAGTATCAATTAGTTGAATAAGCACATCACTGACTGCCATTTCAAGATATCATATCAAGAGAGCATAAAAAAGACGTTGAGACAAAGAGACTGGTAGATGTAAAAACAATACAGACATACAATGATACAACCACAAAAAGGCACGGACAGAAAACATCAATACAATAAAAACAAGACAGACATCAGAATAAAAAAGTACAAAAAGCGACCTCCCATTCATCATTCTCTTTAAACTCTTTTTTCTTCGTGTAATCAATGAACTCGCTGAAGGATATGGAGCCATCCTGGTTGACGTCAGCCTCTTGCATCACATGTTCTCTCATCCGACTCATCTCCTCCATTCTCTCCACCATATCATCTTCCTCATTCTTTGGGTCGTACACCTTGTCTAACTGATAATAATCAAGTGAAATCATTTTTATTTATAAGAATACTATCAACATATATTACAGTACTAAAACGGGATGAACCAATACAGAAATCGTACATATGTGCCAGTATATAACTTTGGAAAATCAGATTAACACTGATCAATTTATAAATTATCGGCAAGTAAAAACAACACACCTCTTTTTGCATGAGGGCTTCAATCTCGTTGATATCCCATAGGCCATCTCCATTTGTGTCTGCAGTCAAAACATTTTGCATTGTACGTAATTAGTTGGAACTATAAATTGACACATGAGCAAAAGAATATAATTTCATAGCTACGAACCTGACGAGCGTGTATCGAATAAAAAAATACAAATCACAATTCCAATCAATGAAGAAGACGGACCATTCACGGCGAAATATTTATCATCACAAAAACAAAGGTATCACTGTTGACAAGCATCAATGAGAAAACAAACACGCACCGTGCAAATTGAAGAATGTCTTTGGATCAAAGTCAGAAACATCCAGTCCATCTGTCTCCGTCCATATTTCTTTCAACTGAGCCTCGTTACCCTTACAATATTCATTGCACAGTTATCATTCACTCATTAATCGTTCATTCAATTATTCATTAATTCAACAATTATTTTTTTCTGCTACATGTCACATTACATGTCACAAAGGACACCAAACATCCAGAAACTCATGCAGCGCAAGCCGAAAACGTACGCATTCATCCAGACTGAATTGAAACTAGGCCACTGCGCAGTTCTTAGTTAAAATGAGCACAAGAACATGACATGTTTACTAAGGGTCTGCGTCTCGAATCGTTTTGTTTTTATTTATTAGTTGGATTCAGACGCATGCTGACCGCACGTGAAAAACTATGTTCAGACGTTTCATGAATATTTTAACGTATAAAAAATTTGAATCGAGATAGTGATTTTTGACGGGGTCTCGTTTCATTCGAGGCAAAAAGTCGGTATCGTACCGAATCGTTTCAAAATAATAACGAGACGCACTTAAGATAAATTATTTTCTCAATCAATGCCTCATTAAATTCATTCATTCATTCACTCAACAATCAATATAAAAGAGATGAAAAATACTTTTTGATTGAAACTAATGTGAAATAAAAAGCAATTGAACAATTGGCTCCCAATGATTACAACTTCTATAGAAAATTTCCAAAAAATTATTGCACTAATATAAAACTTTTATGCTGTCATCGTGCGACTAACAGGATGGTTCAGCTTTGAATGGTTGTTGTGCCTTTCATCCAATTCGATGTACTTGGTCTCCTCGATGATTCTCACGCCCTCATCCATTTTAGACAACTTCTCTCTTTTGTCCAGTTCCTTCTCCATCTCGTACGTCTTGAAAGCTTGCTGACGTTTCCTGTCTATATCACGTAGGTCCTGGGCTGTCTTTGGTGGTGTGAATCATGTTCTCAGGTTATGTAATAGTTTTGCTTGATGAAGAAAACATAGAAAAAGATACAAAATAACGAACCTGTACAGACATTCAAACAATGGACATGTGAAAGATGGTTATCCTTAATTAAACAAAGAAGCACGTTGAAGTGACTTGATGAAACAACCAAACCAGGCAGTCAGTCAATCAATCATGTATGCCATCTACCTGCTTAATAAGTTTTTCCAGGTCCAATCTATTGAACGTTTCATGATTCTTGAAGTCGAGATGTTCAAAGGACGACTTCTCATGCTCGGGGATAAGGGGTAAAATGTTTTCATTGTCCACTACAGCTCCTGCCATCTCTTCAACAATTAGCGCAACATCGAAAGATATATTGAATTTTATATATCCTCTTTTTAGATAAATTTTATAAAATTTCATGACAACTGACTTTATATCATGCCAGTTTTATGAATTGATTTTGAACAAGAAAAATAATTCAGCATGCTATAAACTTTCATGAAGTAGACGTCTGATATCTAAAGTTATTTAACCAAGATTTGTAGAGCATATAAATATGATTTCAACTGAAATGGATTATAAATCCATCGTTTTGTTTGACATCTGACAATAGAATAACGAGGTAAAATCTGAGATTCGTCCTCTGGGTAAAACTTTTGCAGGAATTTTTACTAAACTTACAACAACCGAAACCATTTCTTTGACCATTTAAATAAAACACGACCACAATTACAATAACAAAAAATATGTTGCGTTATGGTTGGGGCTTGGGGCATATGCATCTAACACCTAGGACGAATCTCCAACTTTACCGAATAATGATACGTGATAGCTAAATTAAAAAAACAAAAACATTATAAAAGTTTTTCAGTGGGAAGGTGACAAAAATAATAAAAATATTGTTTGCATATCAATTATGTGAGAACATCTACACAACTTTTTTTAATTTAATGAGAGAAAGCAAATTAGAGTGATACTTTGGTACACGATAGATTTTAACTTCATGAGTATTTTTAATCTATCCAATTCTTTTCTTTTTACTTCATCCAGTTGGCTGCGAATGCCAAGAGACAACAATTCTAAATTGTACGAGAAATCTGCTACCTTGGTTTTTGTTAACAAATAGTGTACATATAAATAATTAAAGTATATTTGATTATATATATTTAAATAAGTTACAAAAATTCATCATCGATGTTTATATTATAAAAGAAAAAATAAAAAAAACATAAAAATAATACCTTGTCTTCCAAACTCTTGCCTTCTAGTAAAATTTTTTGCTTGAATTGATCATCAGTCATAAGAACTGTCATAACTTCTTTTAGATACTTCTTGTAGGATAGCTGCCTCACCTAACATTAAATTACATTGTTAGAAATTATGCAACCTCTCTTGAAGGACAAACACATCATCTTTCAATAAATTTTGCAGTCTGAATCGCCTATGATGTTTACTTGAATGTTACTAATTTACTTAGATAAAAACTTCATTGTAAATTTATACTAAGTGAATAAGTTAATTACACAAATGAATGTTGGCCATGAATGATTTTAAAAAATAATTATAATATGATATGTGATGCAAAAGAAAATTGAATTATCAAATGAATAAAATTTGGATAACAGTTCTAACATCTTCATCATAATCATCCTCTTCAGACTTTGGCATAGGTCTTGCAAAGGCAATAAATGTTTGGGCAAAAATACAGAAGGCGATACATATGAAAAGTTTCATTTTCACTGTTCATAAAAAAATAACAATCAGGTATTAAATAAATACAACATTGAAATTTGTGTAGCTAATTATCTCAAACGGTTTTCCATACTTGCTGCTTTATCAACCTCCAACCATGCTAATGGTAGGAGGATGGGCATTGAGAACGAATGAATGATTAGTTCTAAAAAGCTAAATTTGCTTAGTTTATAGTCTATGAAACATTGTAAAACTACAAAACTGTTATTTTTGCAGCAGTATTCAGATGCCTGAATTTTAAATAACTGCCATTTCCATGTTAAAACTACCTAATTTAATTTTCAACCTTAAATTTTTAGAGTTCTTATTAGGTTTTCATGTTTAGGGAACAATTAAATAAAAAACTCAAATGACTGTTGGCTTAATGTTTAAAGAGTCAAGTAACAAACAGATTAATTTAATACAACAAAGTTTGATTACAATGAGTATGAGAGAATGAGATTAAACCTCTCATCATATGCTTAAGCATTATTGAGCATGAATGCCTTGGCTACATTTAAGTGGTTTGTATGCATTTATCAACTATAAAAAATACTCTAGTTTATTCATGAAAATAGCACTCTAAGCCATAATATACTCTAAAAGCAAGAAAAAAGAAATATTAACTAATTTTATTAGTTAATAAATGATGTTTATAATTTTTAATAATCCCTTTTAATTAAAATCATATCACACTTGTTTTTTATACAAAACAAGATTTAAAAACAAATTTGCCTATTATTTCAATACTCAAATACTTGTTTTCTAAGTTTTATTTATAATGTATGAAAAATTGTTCCTATGTTTTAATTATTTAAATATTAAAATTAAATGAAAGGTAGTCACGAGTAACAGTAAGGCGAGTAAGTAAAAGTTGGGACCAAGACCAGGTGACATTATTTTTTGGTTTGCATTTGAGTGCTGCTTTCTGAGCAGCAAGAGAAGACTCAAAGACAAATTCTGAACTGAGAGCTTGATTGACCACAGGTCTGGTTTGTTAATTTAACATGGGAAACCAACGTCAACCATTGCTGACTGAAATGTAATTTTGATCATATAATTTTAGATGGTTGAAAATGAAAAAATAAGATATACAAACTCATTCGGAAGACTAGCAATATCAACTTCAAGCAAGCAGTATTTGCCGATTAGGCACTTTGATAAATCATTAATCGCTCGACACGTCACTATCACAACAGCATAGTCACTTAATTAAATTTTTGTGTCAAGAAACAATAGCGAGTGGATTATAAATTCGAAATCAATGAACGAGGCACGTCGGGCCGAACACTTAATTGATGTCAAGATTGACTCATCAACTTCATAACACAGTTTCAAACATTTTTATTAACAGTAAACCAGCTATACCTATTATAAGAAGAACCAAGAATGTTGGGCCAAAACAAAAATTAAGACCTAGTGACATAAAAAATCTTCCCATATAAGATCAATTAACAAAATTTTATTTGATTTTTGGAACAATAAAATGCTAAATTCCGTGCAGCTAAACTGATTACATTACAACATATTTGATTCAGCCTGTCGATGCAAACGGTGATCCACAATTGAGTAAAAAATAAATTAGTAGTTAGACTAACAAGAAAATTAATGAAAAGCTTTGTTAATGATCATAGAAAAAATGAAATCATAAGCTTTCTGAATTAGTAGCAGATTTCTCATCCTTTCCCTTGTATCGGATTTTCCCAAATGAAAATGGTATATATTTGTACTTGATCATGTGCTAAGAAAATTATTAAAATTTGTAATTTATCTGAGATTACCATAACAAATGAAATTATCAAAGTGAAAAAACGTAAATGAGACATAATTAAAAATTTTTTTTATAGTAATTTAATAACCACAAATAGAAGGAATAATTTTAGGATATAAAAAACAATTGATACGTTAACACATTTAACAAAAATAAATTTAAAAAACCAACCAAAATTTGTCTCTTCATGGTGAGAAGGAATAGCAAAATGAAATACATTACAAGTATCGGCCAGAAAACAGGTATGTTGAATATGTCAAAAAATGTACAAAACAAACCAATTGAAACTGCCTTTGTGGCGCTATACCTGCAATAATTAAAACACCTCCAAATTATAAGTGATGGAACAGAGAAAAGAACCAAAATTAAATTAAAAACTAAATATTTATAATTTTAATTACAAACCAAAATTTAAATTCGGGAAGCCTTCTAATGAATGGTCTAAACTCCTCATTTGCTTTTGTAGGTAGCTCACCTTCATCCTCTGCTCAAATTAAAAATAATGTTAAGACAATACAGTCTCAAACAATCAGAAATGTTATTAAATAAAGAGGAGCTTGCTAACTTTAATTTACAGCAAGAAAATAATTTAATTGCTAATGCAAAACTTGATTTTAAAGTGATGCCAATAAACAATAAATAATCAAATAACAGTTACCATCAGCTCCAAAATTTTGAGCCGGATCAATTTTTGGAGTTAAAAATGCAATGAATATATTCAACAAGTAAATTCCTAATGCATATGTTACAATATACCATCCCTGTGGTGTAAAACATAAGTTATAAGTTAGGTTTGTTTAAAAGTTAAGGTTGTTATATTCATGTTATCGTGAAAAATTAAGCTGCAACTCTTTATAATATACAATATTATATAACAAAATATGTAAAATTAAAAAAATAAATTAAAATTTCCAACCAAAATTTTCTAACCTCAAGAAGTATAGCTCTAATCATATAGATAGCAAAATAGATCAGCCAAAAACACCATCTTAGAGTTACATGGGGGACACATTTATCCAACCAGTGCTGGTAAGTCTAAAAAAGCAATAGTTTTGTCAAATATTTACACTTATTAACAAACTAAACTAAACTAAATCTCTAAAACAAGTAACAAAATTAAAATTTTAATTAAAATAAAATAAATTAACTAATTAATTACAAAAAAACAAACTAAAATATTGATTGATAAATAACGCAAGATGGCATTATCTATAGCTTCGATATATTATACATATAATTATATATTATAACAATAATTTAATAACATTCATAATAAAATATAGAAAAGGAAGAAATTACAAAAATGGAGCCATAGGGAGCCCAAAACTAGAGCTAACCGCTGCGATCCGCTTTAGTAAACTCATTGGAGATAAGGAGATATTTTCGTGAACAATTTCAATTTTGGGCTGAATTTCCATAAGAAAACAAACAATCGACCATACTTTTTATTTTGCAAAATTGTGTGGCGAAATCAATAGACAATCTAATTTAAAAATGAATTTCTCAGGAGATAATCGTCACCATATAAAGACAGTAAATAATTTCAAGGTAATACATAGAATAAACTATGAAGAAAAAATTTCTTTGAGCATCTGGGCACAAACACAACATATCAATTTGAACACCGAAGACGGTATAGAAATACCGAAAAAAGCTATTCTGTTCTATCATACATAAAATAAACAAAAAAAAAACTTGAAAATGATTTACAATCAACAGTTAGAAAAATCGAAAAGTTAAATTGGAAGTTGACGATCGCTGAACATGCTGTGATTTTCATTGCGAGATAGCTGTAAATGATCCAGCAGAATTGTGACAGGCATTTTTACATTTAACAAAAAAAATTTGCATTCAGAACTACGAAATTTTAAACAGGAATTTCTTTATCATATTCTTCTTTATAAGTTTAACGTACGTAAAGAAATACCAACCAACAACACATTGGTCCCGTATAATTAAAGAATGACGTATTATGTAATAACTTATATGCTTCCGTTAGCTCCCTGTTTATGGAAAAGTTGCTGGTAAAAAATCTATTGCAATTATAGGTACTACGAAATTCAAGACCTTTGAAACAATACATATTATATATTTAAACCAAGGTTACAAACACTTACATACGCATAAATATGAAACACATTACTATATTAAAATCTCGCATACAAAAGCCTATTAACGAATCACAGAGAACCATTGGTAGTTTTTTCTTTTTCATTATTCAAATCAACCTTAGTAGTTTATCAACAATTCAAAATCACCAATTTCTTCTGAGTATATACACATTTTCGTGATTAGCATTTTTACAGCATTTAAAACAATGAACGGGCAACGTAAAAACAGAATAAAAATCAAGACAGTTTTGCAATTTTACTCTTGAAATTTGAATGTTTCAACCCTTTTGGAGTGTTTCCTCGAATTTTTGAATCTTTGATGACATTGGAGGATGGAGGGGGCATAATGTTCTCCTTCTCACGTACCTAAGCAAATTATTATCTCATTCAAAATTTGTAACGAAAAAGTTCTATGATTAAAACCCAACTGAAAAAATCTCATTAAAATTTAAAGCACACGAAGCCTAACTAACGTTGGCATTAACGTTGTTATTAGTATTGCTTTCCAGTGAATCCTCATTAAGAGATCCCGCCACACTCTTATCGTCGTCCATATCTTCACTGTCCGCAATGCTGTTTCCACTACCCCGGCTTCCGATTAGGTTCAGATTGTTGTTACTGCTCATGATGTCATCACTTCTATCAGACCTAGAAGATTCTTGAGATTCCGTGGCGCTTAACTTCAATTTCAAGTCGGCAAATTCACCTCCAGGATAGAAGCGTCTGACAAGTGCATCCGCATGGCTGTAGCTCTTCCTGTGAGGTGTTGTGCCTGTCCAGATGAGGTAAATAAGAATATATTTATCCTCCTCACGAGAAAATGAAGTTTAACCATTTATAAATAAGACTAAGAGCCTAAGGTTTCTTAATGATTTTATAAATATTTTAGGTCTAAGAAGCACTTGAAAACAAAACTAAACAAAGTTTAACTTGCAAACTGGTGGTGTATGAAAAGTCATGCATAACAACTACTAAAATTATAGAATCATCTATATCTGTAGAGTACAGAATACATATGGTCAATATTGAAACGTTCAAAAAACCTGTGGAAACATCGTCTAATATTTCTTTGTCAACATATGCTTGAACAGAATTAAGTTGCTCAGCATATTGTCGTTCAACCTCAGATGTCCACGAAGACAGGATATCAGTTCTGCCGAGGAGATCTTGTTGTTGAGTCTCAAATGATCCTCTCAATGTGCTCATCCAATCTGATTGCTTGCTTCTTACCTCATTTGCATTCTCTTCCAACTGCTTCATTAATTTCTAACAAGATAGACATTGGATTTTTTGAAAATACTGAAAAGATAGTTCTGAAAACTATTAAAAAAACATGAAGCCTCCAAATAAATACACATCTAATATACAAAAAATCAACTGTGCGTCAATTGTCAATTTTATAAAGCACAGATGTTGCACATAAGAACGAGAAAATCATTAAAATTATTTAAATAAAACTGATAAATGACTTTTAGATAAACGCTATTTGAATATGTTCACGTGGTAAATGGAGAAGCATACCTGATAAGAATTTTTGTTACTGTTGAGCGTTGCTAGCAGTGCTTCATTCTGACGCTGTGATTGTTTATCAGCTAATTCTTTCACATCTTGCCATCTCTGTTGAGTGCATTACTTTATATCAATAAATGTAATGGAATGAATGTCTAAAAAAATTATTGGAAAAATAATATAAGAAACGAGATCATTCTTAGTTAAATGAAGAAGCTTCCAAACGTGTTGGGTTTGAGAACAGAACGAATTAGTTTCAGTCAAGTGTTGTTGAAGTTGTTGCTGCTGATCAAGAGCTGTAGTGATGTTTGACAACTGTCCGGTAGTGCACAGCAGATCATTCTGCATGGAAGATGTCATCTCATTGTTCTCCAATTTTATGGCATCTGAGAATCTTGCGAGGAAACTACATGGAGGATTTAATATAAAATTTGTGTCAAAATTTAAAAATTAAAATAGAGTGGTGAAAAATATATCAAACAAAATTATTATAACAATTCAGAGTTAAAATGAATCAGAACAATAAAATTTTCAATCAGTGCAAAAAAAGTGTAAATTTATGCAGAATATATATATATATATATATATATATATATATATATATACTAGATCAAAATTTATAAATGTGAAGTTTTGTTGGCTATTTGGTAGAGAATGGAGAAAAGAAACAATGAACAAAATAATGACCTCATTGCCTGTTCATTATGATTGTGGGTCATAAGTTTTATTTCCTCTGTTTTTGTTATCACTTGTTCACTCATTTCACAGTCATCATCATTTTGCTTCTGTACAAAGTCATTTAGCATCGACATCATCTTGTCCATCATTTCATTCAGTTTTTCCTGTTCGACATTAAAAGATGTAATCAAGAAAAACAGATAGAGGCAGAATAAATTGAAGAAAATTCATCAAAAACTTTTGTCATCTCAATATTTATATATATGTTATAAATAAAGAACTAACAGTTCTGTGAGACTTCATCCCTTCTTTGTGTTTGGTGATGGATGATTTGATGTCATCAATCCTATCATCATATGACTACAAATAAATAAATGAAAAAATTGAAACGTTTCTCCATAGGTAATAGAGCAATAGTAGATTATGTATCACATGTGACAATTAGCATGTTAAAAAAATGTTCCAATCAAAACTATCAACACGGTAAATGTTTCATTAAAACCAAACAGTGAATTGAACTGAAAAAGCATATTAATTAATTGATTCATCAACGAATATTTTTAAATTTATTTCAATGCAAAAAAATTATGTTGCAAGCCTTGGCAAGAGCGACTTACAGCCAAGAATTCGTGCATTCTCACATGCTCCTCGTTCAGACTCTGTATTTGCTTGCAGACAAACTCATTCAATCTTCTTTCATTGTTTTCAGTCTGATAGGAGAGTATGTATGACGACATGCTTCAATGATCATCAGACATCATTTGTTAATTTAAAAAGCTTAAGCACCATCCACATTGTGACAACATAACTTTGTTAATGAGAATTCATTTAAACAGGAACAAGCAAATTTATTTCAAAAATTAAAAATATGGTCGGATAACTCAATTTAGAACAATGCAGAGAAGCAGTTCAACTGAAACAGCAAATGTTCGAAACTAGACAATTTAAAATTCAGAAATGATTTTTTCAATTCACAACAATTTTATAACTTTAAAATGCACCGAACGTTTCTTTAGAAAAAAGGTAAACCCAAAGAAACCTGTTTGATGATCATGTTAGCCGTTGATTGAATCGACTGAACAACATTCGTTAACACATTGGCAATCATGGATATAAAATTGCTGGTGTTCAGTTGGAGTTGACCAATAGCACACGATTCAGAGTCCTTGGTGGTTTTTGTCAGATCATATCATTTAGATCGCATATATATTGCATAATTGTAATTAACTGCAAGACATACATCGTGGGATGCATTGAAAAATTACGCGCAACAAAACTGTGATCAGTTAAAGATGAGACTGATTTATAAAATTCACAATAAAGTGAACAGACTAACTGATAGTGATGAGGTTGAATCAACAAACTGTTTGAGAGACACATTCAACGTGTTGTTGTGTTGTTCTTGTTGCTGCAACGATTGCTTTAAATGCTCACCTGCTACATCAACAAACTTGCAAGCAAGGTCGTTTGATATCAAAGTCAATTCATCCGTTTGACTCTTCAATGTTGTGCCTGTTTGTGAGGTTTTTATACGTTCATCAATTGTTTACATAACTATGTCAAATTGAGATCAAAATAATGTGACTAAAGAACAAATCAGGTTAATTATCGGATTATTGATAGTCATTATTTTATAACATATTTAAAAAAATTGTTTCTTGTAATAAAAATGAATAAATTGAGCAACCTAAAAACTGATTGAGCGTAGAGTTGAAGGTCATTTGCTGATTGACAAAGTTGTGAAGGTCAGACCTCATGCAAATCATCCATTCATTGAAACGGCCTTTGAAATTCTCATGGACAGTTTTGTTCATTTTCTCCACGTTAATTTTTCTGTCCAACTTCTTATGGAAGCCTCTGACGTCGGTGGTAGTTTCTTCTGTTGTTGAGACGAGCTGTGTTGCATGAATGAACGTTTGTAATGCTAACTTTAAAGATAACTTGCGACGCAAACAATGAGCCATCATATCATAACTGATCTACAGCAAAATCCATTCAGAGATAGGATAGACCAACAGAAACGTGCTAACCTTTTCAACTTCCTGCATGAGAGCAAGCATCCTATCTTCCAAGTCTTTTATGGTATCTTTCTGCTGTTGGATCGTGTTCACCATGTGTCTGTTGTTTCGTCGGTTGTTGTGTTATTTAAACACTTTTCATTTTAATTGTTATATCATTGGTAGTTGTGTTAATGAATTGTTTGTTGTTTCAGGAGTTTTTCCATTGGTTGCTGTGTAATTAGGTTAGTTGGCGTCATTAATTTATCGGCCGTTGTGTTGTTATACTGATTGTCAGATTGTTAGCATAAGAATATGCTAATAACTCACTAACTTGCTTAACCAAAGTTGCAACAAGAATTTTATTAATCTTTTCATTCATAAAACTGATAAAACAAATAAATGTATATATTAATTATATAAACAGATTTTAACTCACGTGTGATTATCTTCTGAGATGAAAAATCCATTTTTATCCCTGGCAGCCTGCAGATCCTTCCTCAGTCTTTCTATCTCTTCTGTGTACTCCTGGAAAATTTATTTGGGTGAATGTTTTAGGGAGAGAGTGAGTGAGGTGATGGGAGTGGCATGAGCCTTACAAATTGTACAACAATACAGCATTTACAGATTTTAATGAAGACCAATGGATGAATCCTCACAATAGTGAAATTTATTACTCCTAAACTTTAAATTAAATTGAATAACTCTGATTAAACGTAATTTTTAACCTTAATGAGAACTTTTTTGCTTAATTTCTGGTTGATTTCAGGCTTGTTGGTAATGTTCTTAGCTCTGAATGCGTAATCCAACGTGCTCAGTGTCTCCTGGTTTATTATCATCAATTCATTACAATAAACTGTGATGGGAGAATATGTTTCAATTCATTTAGGCACAACTTTCAAAAAAAGCAAAAATGAAAATTTTTTCTATGTCAATAAATAACAAATAAGAAATATAATAGACTAATTTGAAACAAATGAACTATTTGAAAGCCAAATTGGAGCGTACATCAACGTTACTAGAAGCTGGAGATATAGTTGCGATAATTGAAGTTTTGGTTCGTCCACCAAGTGAATCTTGCAGCAATCTCGTCAGCTTGCTTTCTCTGTTTCAAATAAATATTTATTATTGCTGAGTATGAATATGCAACAAATTTCAAAATTAAGTATAAACAACAACTTACACCCAAGAAACGGCCACAGAGAACATAATCACACATAAAATAATAGAACGAATAACATTGCAGAACATGATTGAACATGTGATATAACGATGAGAGGAGACCTGTAAGGCACATGAGGTTTGTGTTCGACCAATGCAGTGATGACCCTACCCAGAGTGAGCAGTGATTGGTTGATGGAACCCGCCTCTCTGGCCCTCTTATCTTGTGCACCTGAACGACCGATGCATTCACTGCCCGCAAGATCAACCTTTCGTTTAATGGTATTTTTTGTTGAAACATTTTTGGTGAATGAATGTGAAAATGCTATCACACAAACTAGTAACCATATATAGAAGAAGTTAGGCAGAGAAATATGGAAGAAGTCAGGCAGAAAAATATGGAAGAAGTTAGGCAGAGAAATAGAATGAATAATTTCAAACCGCATAGATGAAAGAATAATATACAACAAAATTAATAATTAATTAAAATAATTAAACTTTGAAAAAAGTGATTAAAAGTTTGAAGTGATTGAAGTAGATAAGAGACCAAGTTGAACTTTCCAATTTTGACAAGTTCCTCCCCTTCCACAGTGCTCTCCTTCGTGTGAATTGTCACCATGAACAAGGTGTGTGATCGACTGGTTGAACAAGCACAATCACGTCAATAGGTATTATTACAAAAACATGAAAGTAATTTCTCATCACAAATTATTTTACAATTGAAACAACTGATAATAAAACTATATATAGAAAATTAGCAAAAAGGAGAAAAAAAAAACAAACTAACAAAACAATCGGCTGACCGACCAACCAATCGGCCAACTGACAAACCTTGAATGGGCATTCATCAAAGTGGCAGCGGTTTGTCTCTTAGCAGCTCCCTGCTGAAGAATCTGATAGACTTCATCCTTGTTCATGACGACGACCTCCTCCAGGCCTTGTATTATGCAACCACCCTAGATCAGCAGTCCAACAAATTCGTTCATTATATCCAAAAAAGTTGAATTAAAATTTGTATGAAGAATCACAATAACTTTCACCGATTAAAATAAATGAGCCATAGAAAAAAAAGAAATGATGTAACTATGAACTGAATGTTCATTTAAATTTGTGGAATACTTTTCATGCAAAAAATAAAAAAAAAGGATAGATATACAGATGGTGAATGTAAGTAACCATTTTCTTAGTCGTGTCTTCGTAGATTTTCAGTCGAGGCCCATCAACCGATTCTGAGCCAAGCAGGTCAATCAACTCTTCATTGTAGATCTCAAGAAATGATACCCGCACTGTAAACTCCAGACCCTGCATTTACATACACTATCAAGATGCCATAACAAAACAGAACACGAAGATATCATACCAGCAGCATCAAAGTGAAGCATAGGAAAGAAGAAGGAAAGCAACCTGCATCTGAAGCCTGGAAAAGAGTTGATTCATAACTCTCGGGATTACCCCGGCCAGTGGATCTTCCTCCCATGAAACTGACGTGTCCTCTGACCTTTCACCTTCCATCGTGAATGTCTTCCCTGTCCCCGTCTGACCATAACTGTAATGAGGATTTATTTTTCACATTGATATACATTTTAAGAAATTGAACAAAAAAGATGAAAGGTTTATAATTTTATTATAATATCATGAGTTTAGGTTTATGTTGCTTTTATAATTAGGGTTAACAATTGAAAAGATGCCTGCATATTTTTCAGTTTTGCTAACACCAAAGTTTTAGTATAAAAGAAACAAAACTTAACAAGAAATTTCTGGTCAATGTTACTACCTGGGCAAACAATATTTATTATCATCACAACTACAAATAATCCCGCTTATTAGACACCTACTTAATTAATTTTGTAATATTACTGGCTTGTGGTCAAAAACATTTACCTAACAAAATAATTAAAAATAAATATCGGGTCAAAAGTTTTTAAATTGATGTCATTTAATTTAAAATATCCTTATGAAATTATCCTTACAATATTTATTTAAGCTGCTACAATTTCATACAATGTATAATTATGATATTATCAGATATTATTAAAAAAATAATCATAATTGGAAAAAATAAAAAGAACAGACGCAAATATGGTGCAGTTGTATCCCATGAGCACCTCTTCGAGTATTGGAACCACAACCGATCTGTAAAGTTCAATTTGCTTTGAATTCGCACTGAACACTCTATCAAATGTGAAACTTTTCGTGGGTGCATTCGGCATGGCCCTTTCCCTCACTGTAATTTCTCTTTTTTCCGGAAACACTTCAACCACATTTACTGATCCTGACTTTTTTTCGCTTGAATTTAATGGTCTGAGGGAAGAGTTTATCAATTAGTGGACACAACATTTACGATTTAAAATTCTTTATTTGTTGGGGTCAACCGTTTTATTCTTTCAATAATTGTTCAGTAAGAAAGAAAAAGCAAATTAGTCAAATGGAAAATTAAGTAAATTATAAAATTAATTAAAATGAAAAAAAACTGGAACGGCACTAACCGACATCTGACGACGACTTGGATGTTTTGATTTTTTTCTTTTTTAACGGCTTTGTTGTTATTGCTAGATCCAGGTAGGTTGTTTGCGCTCATTTTCAATTATCATTCAATAAATAATTTCACTTGATTAATTCAAAATTCACAATCAGCCGCGCTAACTACATAGAAATAAAAACATTTGTTTTGAAATAACCAATGAGAAATGACTTCCGCTACGTTGCCAGTAAAATAAAAATGAATGCTGTAAAGTAAAACGATGCGAGCTTACCGTTTGTTTAATATTAATAACATTATAAATGTATGTTTTAATACGTTTAATAAACGAAATGCACCACATGTCACAATTTTGTTGAAAAAAAGTTAGGGCTAAGATGGGCTAAGAGGATTAATGAGTACATCTTTTGTGGCAGTTTGGTTCATTATCTTTAATCTTATATAATAATATATAATTATATCCATGTCTTCAATAGATTAGTCTGGTCTGGTGGCTACATCATAAAATTGATTAGCGTTTTGTTAAAGATGTATACGTATAGTGAAAAATAATCAGTATTAAATGTCAGTTCATTAATTTAACATCAAACAACAAATGCTTCATAATTGTTTTACAAATAAAAATCAAACGGTCCAGCGTTTCAAATAGCACATTCAAATCAATCCATTTCTATTAATTTCGTCACGTCTTACTAAACAAATGTCTAATTTCAAGTACATAGATATACGTTTAAATGTACATTTTAATGTATATAAATAAACACAAGCAGACGAATGTACATTTGCATGCACGCTAATGTACAATTACATTTACATGCATAATGTGTGTAAATTTGTCCCGTGCATCAGACACCAGGTTTTATTAGTTCAAATCTACGTTTATTCTAATAGTATTTAACATTAGCCAATGAATGTAAAGCAAATGTAAACATTGAATCACGTCAGCCAATTAAATCGTTTTATCAGAATAATTATATATAACAACCAATCGCAGTGAAGAATTATGACCTCGTTATGTTAAAGGTTACGAGCAGCCATTTTGTTTGGGTTTCCGGATGTTCGCGATTAAAATAAACAACACGAACGATGCTGTTTTCATTTCGTTTCGTGTTTTCACGGATGGGAGTTTAACCTCTTGCTGTCGGATCTCAATTCATTCGAACTTCCGTTTGAGATTATTTTTTATTCACGTTTTTATGTTTACATGTTAACTACGAATTGTCTGTGCTGGGACTTAATTAAAATATGATAAAAATTAAATTTTAAATAAGTAATCCTGCTTGAATTGAAATCCAAGACTTGTTGGTGCTGGTCGGTGCCTAACAACTTAATAATAATTGGATGCTTAATGTAATAAAGGGTTTGTTTTATTAAAACTAAATGTAAATCTAATAGGAATATGTTTTTAGAATAGGATTTTAGGTAGGTAGGCGTTCTATCAAAACAAAAACGTCTGTCTTCTATCTAGCTACTAGTCCATATATAGTGACTATATTATAGTCGTTAATCAATGTTGTTGTATGTAACAAATAACAATTGTAACAAATATTAATTGAGTTTCCAGTGTCAAACGTTTGTCTTGGGTCTGCTACTCTGAATTATATTCAACTGCATCATCCCGGTCTTCTCTACTAACAGTCTAACACTAACAACACTGCTTATTCATCTAGTAATTGAATTGAATTGAATTGAATAGGACTGAACCACTATCTATCTACCATTGAAGTAGTTTAGTTTTTATTTTTAATTTACTAATTGTAATGTAAATTAATTCAACTTTGCAAATTGTATCAGCATTGGACTGAACAGTTGTAGTCTAAATTTTTAATTCTCTTCATCATAAAATACAAATAGTGAAAAATTTCTCTCATCAAGACGAACAAATGGTATACAAATCTTAACTTGTTTTTTATTCTAGTTTAACATTGACATTTTACATTTATATTCAATCCAATTTAATTTAAAATACTATTTATTTACTTTACTTTACACACTCTATTTTATCTATTGTCTTCTATTTTGAATTGAACAGAGTGAGACTTTTATGCACCACTAATTATGAGTCTCATTGTAAGATTGTATAATTAAATTCCATTCAGATTTTTATTTTAGAATTCAGAGAAAATTATTATTTAGAGATCACTAGCAGATAAATAAATGCTAAATATTAGAGTAAATATAATAGATATACATGGCATATATAATAATAATCTGTATTTATGTGTTTGCTTATTACTTTAATTTTCGTTATTAGTTATTTGTATTTCTTATATTAAGTTATAGTTGTATGCTAATTTTTCATTCCACAGGTGAAATTCTTAATTCTCATCTCTTAGTGCACATTGATTGATTGATTGGTGGATTAAAGGAAAAATTACATGGATAATCAAAAAGAAATTGGCAACGTATGTCATCATGGTGATGACCAAATCTGAGGAGAGGATCGAATCACCATCACCTGCATCATCATCTCCTTGTAATCTTTCAGATATCAATGTCAATATTGTTCCAAGCTTGAGTTTTAACTCTCATTATCAACATCATCAGCATTTCACTCATCACAATATCACTTCTACTTGTTATGAGAATGATTTGGACATCAATAATAACAATATTGTGGATATAAATTCTGATGAAAATCCACATAAAAGTGTTTTGATTAATAATACTGACTACCATAGTTTGGTTGACTGCTATCAAAGTACTGATATTATTTCTTCTGTACAGTTAGATGGTCATGCTGCAAATAATAATTCAAATCCTAATTTAAGTAACAATAACCATGAAAATGACATTACTCAAAGTTTTAATAGTTTTGAGAAAAATCATCATTCACATAGTGAACATGAACATTATATAGTCAAAACAATGAACACAGCAACAGATCCTGCACAAAATTGTTTTGATTTTGACAAGAAGAATGAATCAGCATGCAGTCCATCCCACCAGAAGTTCAGGTGTGCTAAGGATGCTCCTCTGAGGAAACTGAGTGTTGACATGATGAAAACGTACAAGAACATCAATGATGTTAGTTCTATGTGTTTTTTTAGATTTAATTGTTGCTTCGTCAGTCTACTTATTTCCGTTGTTCTATTCCAGTTTCATTGTCAATTGATTTCTGGATGAGTGCTTGTGTACTTTGCATTGTTTGCATTTGCATCATTACATTCTATTTTCATTTAATGAGGGTCATCCATAATCATTATTCATGAGTTTCAATGTTTTTTGGTATATATTGCAATGATTATGTGATGTAATGATGCTCCAAGTCAAGAGAATAAAAAAATCTGATCTGGCAATTCTAACACTAGAATGTTATGGATGGTGTTGGTAGCAAAAAAGTTTTAGAAATATATAAAAAGGTATGGCATGTAGTACATTGTTATTATTGATATTATATTTATGGATAGAATTAGTTATGTGCCAATTTTCAAAAGACAACCTTTGACAGTGGTATACAGCCATTAAGTGATGGCTTTCAAATGTGGTCTGTATGATGGAGTGCTCTCTTACAGCTTCTTTATTGTGTATGCTCTTCAAATTCATCGCGAATCCACCCTATGCTTTGGAGTAACATTTTACTATCATGACTTCATCATTTCCATTGGTGTGGAACTGTTTGATCTACTGGATGATACAAAAGCAAATTTCATTTTTATTTTCATTCATTCACTTATGACCTTAAAAAGCAAGTTGAATATTTTACGAAACACAGCAACACCATGGGAATAGTAAAAAGAGTAATAAAAAATGTTTGAAAAAATATAAAAATACATTTGATACGATAAAAAAAAATGCTAGAACAAACATCAAGCATGAAAGAATATAACTGTATCACGTATTACACACTAAAAAATGCATAGTAAATAAAAATAACGACAAAGCTATTTTATGTCTGCTTTGTAAATAATTGAAAAACAGAATACAGAAAAAAGCAAATGAAAAAAATACTAAATTAGATTTACAGGGTTCATCAGAAAAAACGTTGATAATAATCTATAATAAAAAATGAAGAAAAAAAAATAACAAAATGACAAAAGTATTTTTTTTGACTGTAGATTTATGTTTACCGTATGGTAATGTGGAGAGCAATAAGTCAAAAAAAATGTAATTGAAATGTTTATTAGCTTTGTGACTACTATCTCCTACCATTTTCATCCATTAATTCAACTTACTGTTGAATGATTGAAAAGTATAAAGTATTTTTTCCCATCAAATTGGTTTCTATTGTTTGGTTGTTTTTATCAATTTTCTCAAGTATTTATTTCATTTTATCTTCACATTAATAGAGAAGCATTCTTCTTTATCTTTTGTGGTTTACCTTATATTTCCTATTGATTTTATGGCACTTCTATGATATTATTAGAATTTGTTAGTTGTCTAAGTAAGGTTAGTGAATGCTTATTCTAATTTTGTTAAGTGAAGTTTGCATTTTTTTTGACTGATTCATGTGTTATTTTCATGTTTTATTTTCAATAATTTGTTCATTGTTCC